TGGGGGTGGGGGTAGAAGATGGGGAGGACCAGAGCTAAGAGCTGGGAGAGCCCAGAATACAACAGTGCCCCAGAGACAGCAACAGAAGAACTCATGTGCAGTGGCCCCTCTCCTCCTTACACAGAATCAACCACTTGGGTCCCACCTGCAGGGCCTCCCAGCCCCATCTCCATAAACAATCTAAATGCCACCTGTCACTCGTGAAGTGTGATGTTGTCACTCTTCAAACCCATAAGCAGCCCTGGGGTTGAGCCACGAACGACTGGTAAAGCCCTGGACAATGACCTTGCACACACCTCTCAGCACAAACGCAACCATGGACAGCTGTTTGCAGAGGCGGTGTGAAGACACTTCACAGACTGTGTTCACACTCTACTGTCTCTCCGCATTCACGCTACCTTTGCAAACACAGACTGGAACCACCAACTCCAGAGATGGTGCCCCTCACCCGACAGGGTCAGCTCTGTCCCCTCAGAGCTTCTGAAAATGGTCCATCCGGCCTCCTGTCCCAGGAGCCCACTTCCTGGAAAATCCTAAACAAACCCAATCGCTGCCCTGAAGATCCCTGTACTGAAACACTCAACAGGCTGGAGCAGTTCTTTCACTTCTCCAGAGGGTGTTTTCTCTTCATCATGGGGGCAAAGCAGTCTCCCGCTGTCTTCCCTGTTTCCTGGGCTAAAGGTACCTTTTGTGTCAAATTAACTACAGGACTGACTATTCTTGGCAAAGACTGAGAATGACCAGACAGACCCACAGCTTCCTGGGGTATAGAGACAGGAGGTAAGCACTGTTAGGGTTAGTGGTGGGCCTTTATTGTAAGCACCCAAGGGGCAGACTCTCCTCAGGGCAAGCAGAGCCTTACTGGAGTTCATGAGTACTCTGGCTGACCTCAAGGCCTCAGGTGTGTTTTTCTGGTACCTAAAGATTGAGGGTGGCCATCTGTGACAAAGGCAGGTGGCATCCTCTTCCACATAGAGGGTGCCGGTGTCCACCTGCCCTCAGCAGTGCCATCTGACCATGGCCTGTTTCTTTTTCTACCTGTGTATTTGTATTTATTTATTTTTACTACTCAAGGACTGCCATGCTGTCAGTAGCCACTGTAGGCCTGGGCTTTCCTTTTTCCCACTAGCCTGAGAGGAAAGTCACATGTAATTCTGGGTCAAGACACATGACCCAGAGCCACTTTGGGAAAGCCACAATCCCACACTTTTTAAAAAATTCTTTAATTTAACTGGGCATTGGTGGCTCACACCTTTAATCCCAGCACTGGGGAGGCAGAGGCACGGAGATCTCTGTGAGTTCGACACCAGCCTGGTCTACAGAGTGAGATCCAGGAAAACCTCCAAAGAAATACAGAGAAAACCTGTCTCTAAAGACCAAAAAAAAACCTTGAATTTTTTTGCTTTGTTTTTGGTTTTGAGATAAGGTCTCACCTTGGAACTCACAGAGATCCACCAGCCTTGGTCTCTCAAGTGCTGGGATTAAAGGTCTGCACCACCACACCTGGCTTTCTTTAATTTTTAAAAATCTGTATGTGTGTACATGTATGTATATGGCGGTACATGTACATGAATGTGAGTGTCCCCCATGTGCACACATGTAGAAGGCAGAGCAGGGAGTGCCAAGTGTTTTGCTCAATCACTTTCTACTTGATGACTTTGAAGCAGGTCTCTAGCTGAACCTACTATTTGGTGAGGCTAGCTAGCCCGTCTCTTCTGGATAGTCCTGTGCCCATTCCCCCAATGCTGGGGTTATAATCACACGAAGTTATCCCCAGCTTTTTAATGTGTGTGTTGGGGATTCGATCTCAGGTCCCCTATTTGCAGAGTAAGTACGATCACCCACTAAGCCATCCCCCAGCCCTATGACAACCTCCCATGTTTATTTTGGGGGAGCTTCTTTTTTATGTGGGTGCTGGGGATTTGAACTCAAGTTCTGTACTTACAAGGTCATCAGTATATTAACTGAATCACTGTCCCAGCCAATCCTACATCCCTACCCCTAAGTACCAGTTAATTATGGAAATCAGCATCTGAGATGGTCATGGGTCTTTAAGGCAGCGCAGAGTCACACATGAGGAGAAGGAGGAGAAATTGCCCCCAGAGCCACCATCATTCACCAACAGGGCAACTGCTAGCCACCAGCTGCTTCAGCTGTTAACAGTTAGTGTACATGGCAAAGGGGAGGCTGCTAAGGGCTCTAGGTTCCTCTAGGTGGTTAAAAACAACATTCGTAAGCTACCAAGGCTTCCAGTTCACAGCACCTGAGGTGGGCCACTCAGAGGGTTGTAAGCCAGGGCTCAAGAAAGATGGTTGAGATAAATGTGATAGCTAAGGAGATAGCTTAGCCGGTAAGAGGGCGTGCGTTCAAGTCCTGACACTGAAGTCGAAAGCTAGAATGACGGCTGTGAGCCTGTAAGGGAGGCAGAGACAGGCAGATCCCTGGGAGTCCTGGGCCAGACAGCCTAGCCTGCTGGATGAGCTGCTGCTCTTAATGAGTGGCCCTATCTCAAAAGTCAGGGCAGAAGACTATGGAGGAATTATAGCCAGGATTGTCCTCTGGCTTCATGCCATGCCAACGGGCAGAAAGAAAACAATGAAGGGCAAACATGTCACCTAAGCACCTGAGACCTCAGCTGACTCAGCAGCAATGTGCGAGTATCATTTGTCCCACTTCATCCCCACCCCCACTCCACTCCACCTCAGCAAGGGGACCAGCGAATGAACAAGCAGAAGTCCAGCACAGCCTGGCATAGAGAGTCACCAGCTTTTACTCTTCGCGTAAGGTCGTTACGGAATTACTGAGGTTTCCCATGTACCGTCCTTCCAGTAAGTTCAGTGGAAGATTAACAGAGGTAAAGGGGATGCAGAGAGACCAGCCAGGAGCTCCTGAGGGAGCTGGTCATCCCTGAGCCGTGCTCTCGGTATCCCTGTGTGAGACCAGGTAAGCATCTGCAAAGGGCTGGCAGATAGATGACTTCACCCAAGCCACAGCTGCTTCCCCTGCAGGCCCTGCTACCCCTCCAAGCAGGGAGATGGGTTTTAACCCTGGATATCCATTCACTAGCAGGAAGAGGAAGTAGACATCATCAGAGCGTTTCCAAGGTCCCTCAATGAGTCGCCAGCCGATTTCTCAACTCAGAGCCTCGTGCTGTGTCACTAGGCTCCCCATCCTCAGATTCTGAACAATGCAGACATGGGGTAACCCTGTGACACCTCCACACACATGTCTTCTGTCGCCCACGTGTGGGTCCTAGTTTCCTTCCCAGACAGCGACTACAGCCAGACATGCTGAGGTCTGGAGAATTTCTCTGCCCACATGAATGACCGGGCCACTCTATACACAGCACAGCCCTGTGAGGTAAGGTGACTGTGTGTGGAGATGTGGGAGGTTGGGACCTACCATGGAACTGGCCCTGGAGGCCCTGAGGGAGCCACACCACAGTGCCGTCTTTATTTCACACACAGGCCCCCAGAATTTATATAGCTTGGGTGACTTTGGGGTTCAAAACACTGTAGAACCTGGGCTCAGGCCAGGCTGGTCCATCTAGAATGGCAGAGAAGGGCTGTAATGGCTTAAGAGGGCTCCTTATCTTCCTCCTGGATCTTCCCTGCTCCCTCTACCTCCTCCAATTGCTCTCCCTCTCTCTCCCTCTCTCTCTCTCTCTCTCTCTCTCTCTCTCTCTCTCTCTATCTATCTATCTCTCTCTATCTATCTCTATCTCTATCTCTTTTGTTTCTCTGTGTTGTGTTAATACTGAGAGTCAACTTGACAGCATCTAGTATCACCTAGGTGATAAACCTCTGTAAGAGAGTTTCTAGCTTGGGTAATTAAGACCCACCCTGTAGGCGGCACCATCATGTCCTAGTTAGCCTTTATTGCCAATTTTGACATAGCCTAGAGTCTTCTGAGAGGAAATCCTGGATTAAGGAATTGCTTAGATCACATTGGCCTGTGGGCATGTCTGTGGGGGCATTGTTCTGATTATTAATTGATGATGGAGGGCCCAGCCCACTGTGGGAGGTACTGTCCCTAGGCAGATGGGTCCGGGCTATACAAAAAAGCTAACTAAACATGACTGAGGGAGTGAGCCTGAGACCTAGCCTTAAGCAACATCCTCCATGATTCCTGCTGTACATCCTTGGCTGTGAGAGAGTTGTCTGGTAATACAGTGCAGAATAGCAAGCAGACCCATCTCCAGGTTCCTGCTCTGACTTCCTTCAACTGAAGGACTGTAACCTGGAAGTTTAAGATGAAATAAATCGTTTTCTCCCTGAACTTCCTTTTATTCAGGGTGTTTTATCACAGCAACAGAAAACAAACTAGAACAAATGTCCTAGACTGCATAAGAAGAAGAAGGTGAAGAGAGGACCAGCACCTCCTGTCTCTGCTTCCTGTGGGTGCAGTGTGGCCAACTGCCCCACACTCCTGCCACCATATCTCCCTGCATGATGGACTGGACCCCGAACAAAAAGCAAGCCTTCCTTAAGTGTTTTTATCCGGCATTGTGTCACCGAGATGGGAAAAGCAACTCACACCCTGCCTTTTTCAGTCAGCCTGCTTTCCTAAGCCCTGTCTTTCAGAAATTTCTGGACATTTTCTAAAGGTTGTAACATTTTGTTTTCATCTACATAGTAGTAAACTAGTTTATAAGATCACCGCAGGGGGGCAAGTTCCATCACCATGGAGCCTCAGCCTGCTTTGCCAGCACAGCTCTTAGTATCCAAGTGGTGTTCTAGCGTTTACTACAGAGAATTGCTGCTGCCGGGAAGCTTGCCTGGGAGGAGTGAGGTCTCTTTCTGCATACGGCCTGGGGAGGAGCTCTGATGACCTCCCTCTAACAGAGTCCTAAAACAGTCACTGGGCCAATGACTCTGTGTGTGTGTGTGTGTGTGTGTGTGTGTGTGTGTGTGTGTGTGTGTGTTTCATTGAATCAGGCTCTCTCAAGTGAATCGAGCTTGTTAATGTGTCTAGCTAAGCACCTTGCTCCCAGGGTCCTCTCACTTCTGCCTCCCAGCACTGGAATTACTGTGAGACTCCATGCCATCCAGCATTTCTGTGGGGCTGGGGATCTGAACTCGGATCCTCACACTTGTGCAGCAAGTGCTTTAGCCACTGAGCCGTCTCCCCAGCCCTCTGCAGAGACTTATCACACTGCTTCTTTAATGCCCTGCTCACCCCTTGGATGCTCACTCTCAACACAGTCCACACATCGTGGCTGCCCCACTTCCTGGTGGATACTCCGCACTGCTAAGTAGTGTAGGGAAAAGGGACCAGTCAAAGAAACACACCCTGAGCAGAGCCAAAGAAACACACTGGCCCTGCAACCACAACCAAAAAAATGTACCCTGACCCTAAAACCAGTGCCAAAGAAACACACTTTGTCCCTGGAATCAGAGTCAGTGAAAGAAATGTACCCTGGCCCTAAAATTGGAGCCAAAAGGCTAAAAAGGACCAGAGAAAGAAACACACTTTGGCCCTGAAACCAGAGCCAAATCTGACCCTAATCCTGTGTAAAAAAGTAACCAATGCCGGAGCAGAGCTCTAGCCAATCTGAGCTCAGCACTGAAATCAGACCAATCCCTACTCTGGAAAAACTTCCCCAACCCCAGGAATCCCTATATAAACCCTGTGTATGTTCAGCTTGGCTGGTCCAGCTGTCTTCCAATAAACACCTTTGGATGAGCTTCGGGTGAAGATCTTCTTTTGCGGCGGCGACAGAACAGAGGCGACCCTGGGCAGAGCAGAGCAGAGCTGTAACACTTGCCCGGGAAACCTTCCTTGGCAGAGCAGAGTTGTTACACTCTGCTCCCGGCTCCCTGCTCTCTGCTCTCCGCTCTCCAGGAGCAGAGCTGAACTGTAGCAACTTCGCCCGAGAAACCTCCTGCGGAGCAAAACTGCTACCCTAGGCGAACATCCCCAGCTGGAAGACCCTGTCCTGCCAGCTGATACACCGGAGAAGCCTTTCTCTGAGGCAAGGCTGTAAGCTGCCAAGCTTACTGCAACCTGTGGTGGTCCTTGGCTCCCAAGCTCCAGGATACCTTTCTACCTGAGCTGTGTAACACTGAGTATCCTTGGCTCCCGAGCTCCAGGATACCTTTCCACCTGAGCTGTGTAACACTGAGTATTCTGTGACTCCGGAGTGCCAGAATACCTGACCCACTCCTGTTCCATCCTGTCCTGACCCATCCCGACACAACGCTTACAAGTAGTACCCCGTTCATCTCACTCAGCTCCAACACCCAGTTCTCTGAATCTTCCCTTCCCTATTCAGATGGCCACCTTTCACAGCCCCGTACAGCAGGGGTAGCTCTGAATTTCCAGGAAGAAAATACAAGAGGACAGCAGAGGAGGAGCCTCAGAATACTCTCCATGAATGCCTGGAGGCTGGTACATGTCCCACTACCACCTAAAGCATTAGGAAATGCCTGGACATCTCTGCCACCCTCATGCTTTAAAAGGTCTTACGGGCTGGAAATGTGGCTCTGCAGGCAGAGTGCTTGCCTAGCAACCATGAATCCCTGGGTCCCGTTCCCAGCACATAAACGCAGGGTGGTGGCGCATGCCCCGAATCCCAGCGCTCTGGAGGTGGAGGAAGGAGAGTCAGAAGGTCAGGTTGGCTACACAGTGTGTGCAAGGCCAGCCTGGAATACAGAAGACTGTCTTGAAAACAAATTCTTAAAACTGTAGTTTCCTATTTTATTTTCTTTAGTCAGCCATACTGAACATTTTCCTTGCTTTAATAACTTTTTTTTGCTTTTTGTACATTTTGCCCACTTTTCAGTAGAAATGGAAGTTGTTATTTCCAAGAATTTCTTACAGAGATGAGTGTGTTTTTTATAACTACTCCTTTTCTTTGTTTTTTATCTTAACTTACAATGTTGATATCAGCTCAAATCTCTTTTTCTCTGTTTTCTCACATAGTTTTCTAAAAATGTCAATGGAGAATATTGCCCTATGTTCTCTTCTGACCTTTTTGAGTGTGTGTGTGTGTGTGTGTGTGTGGTTTATCCATGTGTATGTGCAGATGTGTTCCTCTGTGTGTGCACATGTGGAGGCCAGAAGTTAACTTCGGATGTCTTTCTTATCACTCACCACCTTTTATTTTCTTTTGAGTCAATATTTCCCTTTGAACCTAGAGCACGCTGTTTCAGCCAGAGTATGTGGTCAATGAGTTCCCAGGGTTCACCTGTCTTCGCCCCCAACCCAGCCGGCACTGGGGTTACAGGCATGTGCTGCCACATCTGGCTTTATGTGGATCCAAAGGATCGAACTCAGGTCCTCTTGCTTGCACAGCAAGTGCTTCACCTACTGAGACATCTCCCTACCCTATCTGTCTCTTTGGGGTTTTTTGGTGTTGTTTGTTTGTTTGTGGGGTCTTGGGGGGTTGTACTTTGAGACAGGGTATCATGAAGGCCAAATTGGCCTTAAACTAATAGGTAGCCAAGGCTGACTTTGAACTCCTGATCCTCCTGCCTCCCCCTCTAGAGTGCCAGAGGGACAGGTGTGAACCACCAGGCCTGGCTCTCGGTTTTTATAAAGTTATTTTCCAATCAAAGCTACCTAGGATTCACCTGGGGGAACATGATTTCTGCACTGTCTTGATCCCACATCACTGACTGAATTGATCCTAGTAATTGACATCACTACTCTCATAAACTAGAGTAGCCCAGGAGACTAATGTGCCCTGTGTTTTCACTGATGTCACTGATGACTCTCACAGTGGTATCTCCGTCACATGACAGTCCCATGCTGTGGTTCATGTCAGAGAAAAGACAACTCTCCTTGCTGCTCCCCAAACGGCTTGTTACTCTGTGTGGTCCATTGCAATGCAGCCACAAACTTTTTAACCCTGACAGAGCTCACCCACTTCCTGCTGGGTCTCCACCTAGTCTGGGGTCATCATTCTTCCCTCAGGAGGGTGTGGCTGTCTCCAAACAAAGGCCCAGCTTTTCCTGAGAGGTTCATTCCTTGGCCATGGCTAGCACTAGGCCCGCTTTTTCTCTGTCTCTATGGCTTGTGCATCAGTGAAGCACATGAAACCCCACCCAGCGTTAGCCCAGAAGGTAACAGCTCTGCAGGCAGAGGCGGCAGCTGCTTGTTCTCCTGGGCTGTCTGTCACAGGAGGCTGCATACTGAAGGCCCTAGCTGCCTCAGGGCGCAGAGCAGGCTTGAACTGTGTGAATTCCATGGGGTCACAGGCACCTTCTTATCGTTGTGACCATCTGGCCTTGATGGAGGCAGTGATGGCCACTTCCAACCACAAACACCTCCCTTCTGCCCCTCTGTACACCAGAAGTCCTGGATCCTGGACAAGCAAGAGTACAAGACCGGACTGGCCCAGGAGAGACACACCCAGACAGTGTCCCCAGGTGACCTAGTGCCTCTGTGGAGCAGGCAGGAAGTGTTGTTGCCTGGCCACCCAGCCACCCACGGCCATCTGCTCAGCTCCCTGGAAACACCCCTGTGGTCTCCATGATTACTCAGCAGTTCCCAGCTTCCTGTGTGGTGGGCTGGTTTGTGTCTCTTTTTGCTTTGTTTATTTGCTTTTTATATGTGTTTCAAAATTCCAAGTGGTGCAGTGAAAAGGCATAGGAGAGACAGAACTGAACATTAGTGGCCAGTAAAGTGACCAGCCACCAAGGCTAGGGTATGTTCCCAGGCTTCCTGGGGGGAGATTAACCCCCAACTGTGAAGCACAAAGCGGGAGGCCACTTAATACCGTTCTAGTGGTTAGAGACGGGGCCTTGGCAATAGAGGAGGTTCTGATGCTGTCACTGGGATGAGCCTCAGGCATGGATCCTCCTGGATCTATAGGAACACACAGAGAGAAGACATATATATGAGTGCACATCCACACAGGGTATTTTGCACCATTTGACCACATACACCACCTGGGTACCCCATAATGACACCACGAAATGCCCACTCTCGATCTTAGAACAAAGCCAGGACCAAAATAGACCTATTTATTTACTCATGAAGCCATCCATTTGGATGTTTTTGAGACAGGGTCTCTTGTTATCCAGGTGATCCTCGAACCTGGTATGTAGGCAGAATGGCCTTGAACTGTTGGTTTCTTGCTTCCGCCTCCTGAATGTTGGGATTAAGCACCACACCTGATTTATGTTATGCTGTGGATAGGAGCCAGGGTTGTGTATGTTAGGCAAGCACTCAGCCAACAAAGTTCCATCCGGAGCCCAGTAAACCACAGTCAATCTGTGGACAACAAACGGGCCTCATGCCCCTCCCTCAGCTGGGCATTTGCAGGGAGCTTTAAGAACTGAGCTGCCAACTGTGACTTGACCATAACTTAGACCAAAAGTTGTTAACACCCTTCCATCCTCTGGAAGCCATGCCTGTTCTCTGTAGCAGGGTTGGGTGTCATTCTGTGTCTGCCACAAACTCTCTGAGATCTCTCCCTCATCTCTGAATGAGCACAGTCCAGTTGTCCTTTGCCTCTGGTTTCTCCTTACTAGTCACAAAGGGACCGTGGCAGGCCACTTCTGGCCAGAGCAACAAGGTCCCAGGATATTACTGGGCCCCCGGGATGCAGGGATGCTGCTCCTTTTGTAGAGAGATCTCACCTGACTCAATTAACTAAATCTAGAAACTTCTTCATGGACATGCCCAGAGGTTTATCTTCTAGATGATTCTAGATCCTGTCAAGCTGGCATTCAATAGTGTAGTGTAAGGTTCTCTAGAGGAACAGTATGTGTGTGTGTGTGTTTCATATATATATACATATATATTCATATGTGTATATATGAAGGGGTTTATTAAAGTGGCTTACTCTGCAGTCCAGCTAGTCCAACAATGGCTTTCTAGGAAGGAAAAATCCAAGACTCCTCTAGTAATTCAGTCTACAAGGCTGAATGTCTCATCTGGTTTTCAGTTTATGCTGGAATCCTGAAGAAGCAGGCTAGGCTCTAATGCCAAGAGTGAGGGCAGAAGGCAAAGATCAAAGGCTTCCTTCTTCATGGCTTTTACATAGGTTGCCAGCAGGAAGTGTGACCCAGGTTTAAGGTGGACCTTCCCACCGAAAAAGATCCAGATTAGCTGGATGGTGGTGATACACACCTTTACACCCAGCACTCAGGAGACAGAGGCAAATGGATCTCTGTGAGTCCAAGGTCAGCCTGGTCTACAGAGCAAGTTCCAAGACACCCAAGGCCATGTAGAGAAACCCTGTCTCAAAAAAAGAAAGAAAGAAAGAAAACAAGTCTAGATTAAAAGTAGGTCTTTCTGCTTTAAATGATTTAATTAAGAAAAAATCCCTCACAGGTGTACCCAACCACTTGGGTTTAAGTTAATTCCAGGTATAGTCAATGAACAACCAAGATTAGCCATCACAAGCAGAGGGCATCCTCTTCTCTGTGCAAAGGGGAGAATATGAGTTACCTTCAGTCCAGCACCCACCCACAATGGTAGCTTGTGCACTCACATCAAGAACACCTGCTCATACCCATCCTCCAGAGGTGCAGAGCCTTACAGGATGTGTCCAAGTCCAATATCCAGACAACAGAACAGGGCCACAGATACAGTACAGCTGACAGAGTGCTTGCCTAGTAATCCCAGAACTCAGGAGGCAGTAGAAGGAGGCTCTGGAATTCAAGGTCATTCTGAGCTACTTTAGACCCTGTTTCAACAAAACCTTCCGTGATAAAAAAGTTTTAGGAGTTGCCGAAGTTGGTGTTACATAAATATTCTAGAGTTGCTTGGAACAGAGACATGACCCTGTCTTCAGCACCCTGACATGTCAGAGAGCATACAGGAGAGAACAGGTGCAGGCCCTCACCCTCTGACTGATCCTTCTGCAGGGACAGTGGCTCCTGGAACCTTGAAAGTTCCGGGGCTGGGCTCCCTGGAAGGGAGTCTATTCTAGGCTCATGTCCTTGCTAGTTCATTCCTCCAAAGTAGGTCATCACTGTCACCACATCCACAATGTTAAAGTGAGATTGAAGACTTGTTTGTTTACATTATTCAGACAGACAGGTCCAGCCTTGTCTCTGCCACAGAGAGATCTGGGATTCAGAGGACAGCAAGCTGGAAGAACACAGAACGTGGGACTCATGGCTACCTTCTGCCTTCCTTCTTGTTCTTATAAACTCCTGGGGGCTCAGAAAGAAGCTCCTGAAAGAGAGAAGAGATAGCTCAATCAGTAAACTGTTTGCTGGGCAAGTGTAAGGATGTATGTGTGTGTGATTCCTCATCCTCATGTAAAGCAAGCAAACAAACCCCACAACTGACATTGTACCCTCATTATCCTAACTACAGTTTCCCCTCCCTCTCCTCCCAGTCCCTCCCTACCTCCCCTCCCATCTAGATCCACCCCTCTTCTGTTTCTCATTATAAAACAAACCAATTTCTAAGGGATAACAATAAAATAAAACAAAAACAAATACTTAGAAAGAATACAAGATAAGCAAAAGGAAAAGAGCCCAAGAAAAGGCACAAGAAACAGATTTGGTCTCAGAGACCCACTGGTTTGCACATTCGAGAATTCCAAACAAACACAAAACCAGAAGTCAAAATATATATGCAAAGGGCCTATAGGAAGAGAGAGAGTAGGGGAGGAGAGAATTTTTTTAAAAAGGAAAAAAATGTCCTGACAACATTATGCGACAAGGAACCTTCAAAGATGTCATTGTGTTTATTTTCTGTTGGCCATCTGCTGCTAGGCATGCAGCCTATCCTTAAGAGTAATTTGTTTCCCCAGTGAGACTCCCTTGGAGAAAACCAGATTTTCATTTGCAAGTGGTTATCAATTGGACAAAGCTTCTGGGTTAGGGATGGAAGCATGTATCCATTTCTCCTTTCTGCCCTAGGGCCCTATCTGGGGCAGAACCATGCAGGCCACGTGCATGCTGCCTCAGTCTCTGGATTCGTATGTGAGTGGGGCCTTCTGTGTTTAAAAGGCCTTGTTTTCCGGGTGTTGGTGGTGCACTCGTAGTCAGTGAAGTTGGTCTTCAGGCTCGGCTGGCATAGAGGCTCTCATCTATCTTCCTGCTTTTTCTGAGCTTCTGTCCAGAGTCCTTCACATTTCTGTTTTTTCCCCCAGTGTTTATCTCACTGCACTGGAAATGCCACCATGGATCCTTTTTCTCATTCCCTGGGCTGCTGACCTCAAAGACATGCATCTCGATTCTAGAAGGTATTGGCAATCTGTGTTGTCTTTCCCACTCAATAGAGCCGAGCTGGCATGCCTGTCTAGGGGAGCATTGCCCCAGCAACCATATGGATGTCATATGCATTCTCCCCCATTCACCCCAAAGACATTCTCTTCTTTTTCACAAAGGTTCATCGGGAACCAGCAGGGGTAGAGATCATGGCTTAGTTAGCACTGGCCCATGGTCAGTGCTCACAGCATGAGTGAAATCTTGTTGATCCCACAGGTGCAGGAGTCAGTGTGGGGCCCAAATCTCATCCCTCTTCCTGTAGCTAAGCTTCGTTTTCTGTATTTGTCACCCACCAAACCCACAGGAAGATTAAAATATGACTTCGCCTAGACAGTCCTTAAAACATGGGTTCTATTGATTAAAGAATATTCACTGGCAACCTGGTGTTCCATGGGGCAGGCTACTCAACAAATCCAAATAAAACCAGAACATAGCTAAAAGGGAATGTACTTCAAAGAGAATAAGGATTTAACCTGGAGCCAAATAGGAATGACTATGACCCAGAAATATGAGCTCAAGTTGCCCTAAATATCATGTTCCACCACAGAATCTGTTTCATAAGATTTTTGTAGGCACAGAACAGAAAGTCTTAAATCAAGGTACTTTCAAATATATTTGTAGGAACATCAGACAGGCAGATCACAGCAAAGTAGGGAAGGCTCTGCAGCAGGTCTCAGATGCTATCTGATGTCTTCCTAGCTTTGGGATTGATGGAAGCTAGTGTTCTAAGTTAAGACATCCTGAGTACATTATATATATATATATACATATACATATATATAATATACAGACATATATATATGTATATATATATACACATTCCTGAGTAGTTTCATCAATATCCACAGAAATACTGATCAGACACAGAAACAGGCAATGAACAGCTTACTAGAACCCTATAATTGTGGAGAGTTGGAGTGTTGCAGATCCAGACTCAGTTCTGGTTAGAAGGGGGTGCCTTTTTAGTCCCTTTAAAAGCCACTCGGCTCCCACATCTGACCTAACATCCCATGACTATCAAAACTCTTATAGCTGGGCATGATGGCACATGCCTTTAATGGCAGCACTTGGGAAGCAGAGGCAGGCAGATCTCTGTAAGTTTGAGGCCAGCCTGATCTACAGAGATAGTTCCAGGATAGCCAGAGCTATACAGAGGAAGCCTTGTCTCAGAATATAAACAACAACAACAATAAAACAACAACAACAAAAACACTTTTGCAATCTATTCTTAGCAAACCACTAACTTCTACCAATCCAAAAGCCAAGAATGTAATCAGATAGTATTTGAAACCTAGAGCAAAGATTTCCCACTTTGTTGTAGCTTGCTTACCGGTGGACTCTCCCAATGTATGTGTGGCAAATGCCTTGGTTTATGGCTCTTTGTTCTGTATCTAGTAAAATTCATGTAAACACTTCCACAGCCGAACAACTCTCTCTCGTCAACCCAAATCTGTGTTCCTTGGGCCAAAATCATACGAGAATCAACGATAAGCTATCTCTTATTTCCTTTGAGGTGAGGGCTGTTTCACAACATTCCCGGTAATAATCGCACCACAACTCTTAAAAGGACATAGAGGCCTTAAGATATGTGTAAGACAAAAGTGTAAGCTCTGAGCACAAGCACCCTCATCCCTTGGTGTTTAATTACGAAAGCCATCACATGCACAGAATGACTGGGGTCTACACTGCACACTCAAGCAACTCCAAAGGAAGGTCATAAAGTCACCAATGTGTTCCAGCCTGTAGAATCACTCACCCCACAGAGAAATCTAATCCAGAGGGAAAGACAACACACTAACTGGACACTGGGCTGCTGCCCAGGAAATTAAAAGGCATTTAATCCAGCACCTATTGAGACAGATAAAGCCACCTGACTCTCCCAAGGGTATTTGACTAAAAGTGGCATTAAATACTGTTTAAGCACTGTTAATTTACACTAGGTCTTTGCCAATAGCCACCCTTTTAATGTTTATTTTTCCCTTAAGTGAGCTAAGACACTGCCCCCCCCACGCCTCCTCCATGATTTAACTCCCTAAGTAACAGTCCCTTCTCTAGTGCTCCATTTGCCTGATGCTCACAGGACTGTCCCCATACCAGATCGCTGCTGTGAACACCTCACAGTCAACCCCAGAGATCTTTGATTGATGTCAAGACATTCTCACTTTGGCCCCAAGGATTGTGCCGGGATTGGTGGCAACACCCTGGCCACATTCCCTTACTGGCTGTATAAGCGGCAGACTACTCTGGCTCTTTAGGACTTTCTGGAACCATCCTCCTGGGCTGCAGTGTTAGGCCCAACAATGTTGTCTTTCCTGTGACCTTCTAGATTTCTTGTTTATTTGGAGACAAGGGCTCAGATAGCTGGGGGAGGAAGGCCTTAAATTCCCCATTTCTTATCTCCACTGCCCAAATGCTGGGATTGCAGGTGTGTACCACCAACCCAGACCCTCTTGATTACATTTGATCTTTATCTTTATGAGTGAAGTGGATTGGGCTGGTAACTTGAAGATGCGGGCAGCTAAGGGGGGAGTAGCTGAGGTGTGGGGGGGGGAGTGGAGGAAGGGGTATGGTCAAGACTGTAGCGGTAGCAGACACTGCCAGCGTTCAGCACAGGAAATCCCAGGTAATTACTGCCAAGGCCGCAGCTGCAAGTGGTTTAAAACCAGGGCAGCAAACCTGCCATCTTTCTGGAGAATGGAGCAATAGGCAACAACATCTGTGGTCCACAGCCCTGGAGGATGGCCCGGTAAGGAAACAATACAAAGGCACAGCCAACCGGCTGGCCGCCCTTAGCCAGGCTAGCAGATCTGGCCCCTGGTGCTAGTGGGCGAGCACTGCCACCAGCAACAGCCAGTAAAAAGGAAGGAAGGAAGGAAGGGAGGGAGGGAGGGAGGGAGGGAGGGAGGGAGGGAGGGAGGGAGGGAGGGAGGAAGGAAGGAAGGAACAAATAAGTAAGTAAATAAATAAATAAATAACACCCTTCAGATCGCTGAACCCTGGTTTGGGACAGCCTCCCTCCCAGTGGCCGCTTGGTTTCCAGATCTCTGGATGTCACATGCTCTGCTCCTAATAACCCCTGGGTGCCTTTGATTCACCGCGTGTTGTAGCCATCACCATTCCCCTTTTCTCCTCCCAACTCCGCGGGCCTGCGAAGGCCTCTGACCAGGTGTTGCTGGTCCTGGATGTGAGTCGGGACGCGGACCTATCTGACTTGAAGCACTTGTGGTTTGTTGCTCCAAGCATGGGGTTTTGCCCCTTTAACAAGGAAGTGAAAATTAACTATAAATGTTAACGATCTGACCATCTTCAAACCTGGTTCCTCCTGGAGCCTGGGGTTCACTGGCTGAACGGACTGAAGGATGGGGCACAGCGCTTGCGGGAGTCTCCATGACCAAAGTGGCTGGAGGGATAGGACTGCCCCGAGGTGGTCAGATGTCTGTTGAGCAGGGTATCCTTCCTGTCTGAGGGTGACATGGGTGGCCCGCTGTGCCCAGGGTGGGACTGAAGCACTGACCAAATGTCAGTGGTGGAGAGTTTTCATTTGAACTGGCCAAGAAAGGTTCCTGTAAAAAAAAAAAAAAAAAGGACTGAGCAGGCCTAGGTCAGGAGCCAACTTAGAGAATTAGCTGCCCACATGGACACGTGACTGAAGGAGCGTGTGTCACTCCTGTCCAGGGCAGGACAAAAACTTGAGTGATCTGGTCCAGAGAAGGGGTGGGTCTGTTAAAATACATTTGACCCTTGCCCCTCTGTCCCCACCTCTTCCCCGTTCCAGCGCCCGCAGGGTTAGAGCAGGTAGGTTACATTTGGCCCACAGGGGCTGTTGGAAAGGGCAATGTAATTTGGTTTTTCAATTTCATTTCCTGCTTTACCTGTCTCTCATCTTAAAAGTGGAATAGGACGCCGGGCAGTGGTGGCGCATGCCTTTGATCCCAGCCCTCGGGAGGCAGAGGCAGACAGAACTTTGTGAGTTGGAGACCAGCCTGGTCTACAAAGTGAGTTCTAGGACAGGCTCTAAAGCTACACAGAAAAACCCTGCCTCGGAAAATAAAATAAAATAAACAAATAAGTAAATAGTTGTGGAATAGGTAGCCAGTGAGTGAAGGCCCTTACTCACCTCACAAGCCTGGTAACCTGATTTCAATTCTGAAAACCCCCAAAGTTAAGACCAAAGGAGACAACTGACTCCTGAAAGTTGTCCTCTGACCGCCACACCAGGGCCATGGCCAGTGCACCTAAATACGCAATAATCACACAGAGACACGTTAATATTTTTTAATGGAACAGATGGTGTGTCTACAACTGTATAGGTTCTGATTCATCAAGATGGCCATACACTACATTTTGATTGGCTGATTAGTGGTATTCTGGGGTTTCTGGCAGTGTTGTAATACAGTTCCTATTATGTTGCAAATAGAGGGTGAAGTCAAGCTCGTGTGCCTCTGATGTCCTAACTGGCCTGCTGGATATCTGTAGCCCAGCAGGTCTGAGTCACTCACTGGTCCTTTGCAGGAGGCCTCCAGTCACAAGGGCAGCTTCCGCAGTTTTTGCCCCAGGAACCCCTCACTGGATTCTAGAGAGCTGGCAAGTGCTCATAGGTCAGAGAGCAAAGATGAGACACCCTCAGTGTGGCCATCTCCATATCCAGCACAAACAATGTCTGCCTGGGGGCTAGGGGAAAACTCCATCAGCAGCATACCTCCAGACCTGCTCTCGCTAAATTCTGCAAAGATTTCCTCCTTACCTGGAAGACCTGCTCAGAGCTGAAATTATTTTTATCCGTCTACATCCCAATATCAGAGCTTTGTTTGTTTCATTGCTTTCATCTTATTTTATTTAGCCATTTAATTATTTATTTATTGGGACAAGGGTGTCTTAATTGCTTTTCTATTGTGATCCTGACCAATGCAGCTTATTAAATGAAAGCATGTAACTGGGGCCTTGCTTACAGTTGCAGAGGGAGCACGGCAGCAGGCAGGTGTGATGCCGGAGTAGCAGCTGAGAGTTTCTATCCGATCCACAAGCGTGACGCAGAGAACGGTGGGGGTTGTTGAAACCTCACAGCCCAAAACAGTGCCGCACCTCATCCAGAAAGGTCACACTTCTCAACCTTTACCAAACAGTTCCAACAACCGGGGACCAAATATTAAAATCTATGAGCCTATGGGGTCATTTTCACTCAAAACAACACACAGGGTCTCGCTGTGTAGACCAGGCTAGGCTGGAGCTCACAAAGATTGACTGGCCTGCCTCTTGCCTCCCAAGTGTTCAGCTCTGAGGTGTACACCTCCTTGCCTTGGCGGTTTGTTTCCCATCTATTCTTGATTGATTTCTGGGAGTGCCTTAAAAAGATATATAAGAAAATGACCTTCCCTGATGCAGGTCTGAAGGTGAGGTTTAAAGATAAATGATAAATATGTGTTTTATTAGGGAAGAACTTACACAGATAAGAATAAATAACCACTGCAACCTTCCTGCTCCAGAAGATGCAGACACTGCCCTTCCGATGCTCTCTGCGACCCAAGAGAGTGCACACTAGCTCCTCCTCTCTCTTAAGGGGTCAAGTCTGCACCTGAAATCACGCCCAAAGGGCCACTACTACAAGTTCACTGGCAAGGCAAAATGCCACTATGCAGGTCCAGGAGTCCTTGCTGGCTGTGATCCACTATGGTAGAGAAGACTAGAAAGTGGCACCCTTTAGGTGAAATTTCACTGGCAGACATTTTCTATTTTGTCTATAGTCTCTAGTTTATTCTTTTAAAAAATCTAACACTGCCTGAAAGCATTAGGATAAATGGACTTTAATAAAGAAAAGCTGTTTTGTAACATTCATCATGGAAGGTAAATGATAGGGGTAGAGGAGACACCAAGAGGGAATCGTAGCTACCAAAACAAAAAAGGGCCATCATCACAAGACAGAAGTCACCAGATAGGGCAGACAGGGCCATTGTGACAAGACAGCTACCAGGGCAGATGGCCTCGGAGACAAGACAGCAATCACTAGAGCAGACAGCATCATGACAACATGATAGCCACCAGGGCAGATGGGACCAATCAAACAAAGCAGGGATTCTGGGCTCACAGGCACAGACAGAGGTGAGCAGACATTCCCCATCTTCACAAGCCAGTACCAATACTCCTCCGAGATGAGGGCCCACTGCCCTTTGCTGTTGGGTGGGGGCAGGGCTGCTTTCCTTGGTAATAGTGGCTGCTTTTCCCATCCATTTTTGAACATCTGGTGGTCCCTGCTCTCACAACACCCCCTCCCTCCCAAACCCTATCAAATGAGTACCTTTATTTTGCAAACTGGCTACAATCTGCATGTTATGTCCTGTGACTATAACTAAATGACCATTGTTCAACACTGATAAGAAGGACAGGCTTGCCCTCTTCTGGGCCCAGTGTCTTACCAGCAACTGGCCCTATAACCCTCCTGGCATGTATAATGACCTTCTAAGGCAGTGGTTCTCAACCTGTGGGTTTTGATCCCTTTGGGGGGGTCACATATCAGATATCCTGCATATCAGATATCAGATTTATATTGTGATTTATATCAGATTTACATTATGATTCATAACAGTAGCAAAATTACAGTTATGAGGTAACAACAAAAATAACTTTATGGTTGGTGTAAGAATTCAGGCATTATGCTGGCCTGCCCATGTCACATGGCAGAATGCACTCAGGCAGTACTCTGGTCAGCCCACAGAGTCTGCACACAGGTGCAAAGGACCCCTTTAAAAGACAGACCCCTGCCCACTTATGTTCTCTTGTTCTGTTTGTGGCTCTTCTCCCTCTCTGCTCTTTTCCAGCTGTCTTCTCGCTGTTCCCCTGGGACAGACAGGACTTTTCCTGTCTCTCTCTTCTCTTCTGTCCTCTCTCTGTGTCCCTGTATCTCTTTACCTCTTTTCTGTTTCCTTCCTCCTCCCTCCCCTTTCTAACAAAACTTCTCACTCAAGCTCTGTTTACCTGTCGTGTTTGTTCTCTGCCTTGGTCACCCTCACCTGTCACGGAATCCTCCATGGTTCCCCATGCAGGAACCCCCTTCCAGCTTTATCCTCTCTTAAGCAAAAGAACAACATTGGTGAACATGGCTTGGCAGGTTTTCCTGGCATTTGCTCCTGCCCGTGGCAATATGAGATGTGCTGGGACCCTGTAACCTTCAACTCAGTCACTTTTCCAACTAAGGAGCTCTGGATTCTTCCATCTACCACTGCCATGTCTGGTAAGCCCGCCCCTTCTGCTCTACCTCTGGCCATGCGTCCATGAGTTAGGACTCTTTTGTATTGAGGTCTTTCGCCTTTTTGGCCCATTCAAAATCCCAGCACTGGGTGACCATGTGTCTCTCAGGCTCCGGGAGCCCTGGCCACTGGTTTGTGCTCAACAGACCACAAAATCAGCCTGTGCCTCTATGTCTGATCCTTCCTTAGTCGCTGGGACGCTGGGATTATAGGCTTTGGATCTCTCATGGAAGCTGGGCTTCTCCCATATCAAACCATGTGCCTACTTATTGGCACCCTACCTTCTGCCAGTGATCCATAGCTGGAAGTGTGGTCTCTACTCTTTTTCACTTGTCTGTTTCTCTCCTCTTCCCGGCATGCTAAAACTCTGCAGCCTACCACAGACAGCAGTATCACTTCCCTTCCTGGCTAAGCCCGTCTGGGGGCAGGAACCTCCGTCCACCTTGGAATGTCCCATTTCACTAGACCTCTTATGCTCCGGTTCAAATGTCTCTCACTCTCCTGTTTGTCCTATCTCTGCTGCCTTTCTACTGTGTTTCTTCTCTATACAGATGACAGTAGCTCGCAGTGGGCTGGCCCGAAGCAGCATCTACTCAGGATGCCCTGAGAGTTTTTTTTTTAACTTCTGTCAGATAGGAAGCAGCCATCTTGACCACGTGGCCTAGCTGTAGGCCTGCCCACTCTATGGGTTCCTCCGTTCCCTCGGCCTGGGCAGAGGGACAGTTTAGCCAGCTTCTGCTGACAAAACCTGCTGACAGACATAATTCATTTACCTTTTGCCTCTTATTTTTTTTGTCTCTAATTTCTTCTTTCACTGGCTCTGTTACCGATGGCTTGTTTGTGTAATGGTGTACCTTTCCAGGGCCCAGTAGGGAACACATTTCACGCAAAAACCCTGCCTGTTCCATCTGCAGTGGATCTGCTTTCTTGTCGCTGGCAGTTCTAAGTCTACTGTGTCTCTTTAAATCTCCTGTCTGTTCTCTACAACGTGCAAATCAGAGATCACACTCTGGTTCTTCTTACTTTTATCTGGTCCAGTTTAATATGGCTATGTGTACGTGTACATGTAGCTACTGTTTAAAAATGTAACTCTATATGCAACTTAAATTCAACTGTGCTAAGTCTCAAATATTTCTAAATTGTCATGTATCTTTGATGATAAAAATTTTATCTTAAATTGAAATATACTATCAATTGATGATAAAAACTTAAGGTTATAAAGATCTATTTCAAATTAACAAAATATTTATGCCACTTAATCCCTCCTGTAAGCTGTTTATAAAGGTTAAGCTTCTATTACAAAAGGGGATTTTTCTCTACTTCTTTGTCCTTTACAGGCATAAATCTAACCTCCTAAGTTAAAACCAGTTACAGTCAGGCTGGGAGGACTCTGAGTAAAACATCCCTCCACAGCCTCTCAGCTTCAATCCAGATCCTGCAATATCATTGTAGCCATACTAAGTACAGATTAATTAACTACAGTGATAAAACCTTACCTAGCCACCTATGTGCTTAAGGCAAGTAACTAAAAAAGACAAATTTTGTCTGCTGAGAAACAGACAGCCATCAGATGCTCAGAGATCTAGAGAATATGGCATTTAAAATGTTTTATTAAAAAACTTTCCATAGCCGGGCGGTGGTGGTGCACGCCTTTAATCCCAACACTCGGGAGGCAGAGGCAGGCGGATCTCTCTGAGTTTGAGGCCGGGCTGGACCAATAGCCTCCAAAACAATACAGAGAAACCCTGTCTCATTAAAAAAACAAAAAAACAAAAAAAAATCTTTCCATAACAAAGAGACAGGCCAGCAGCTGGCATTAGCCCATTTATGATCCTCTTTCCCTCAAGTACCAGGACCTAAGACAAATTCTTTTCCTAAACTTTGTACTCTGCTCTGCAACATCTTTTCAGGTCTAAGAGGTGCCAGAGAGTTCCATACAGTCTGGACTATGATGAAACAACCAGCCACCCAGGGAATGGCACCACCCCAGTTTTCTCAGGTCCCCCAAAGATGGTTAATGCCCCCCAGATCAGAAGGAAATAGTCTTGAGAACTCAAACATCCTAATTCCCTAACCTGTCATGCCTAACTCTTTACCATTTTAATAATAAGTAAAGGTAAGAATGTAAGGATTCAGGCATATGCTGGCCTGCCCGTCACCTGGCAGAATGCACTCTGGCAGTACATACTCTAGTCAGCCCAGGGTTCCACAAGTACTAGTCTGCACACAGGTACAAAGGACCCATTTAAAAGACAGACCACCTGCCCACTTACATTCTCTTGTTCTCTTTCTGGCTCTCTCTGTTCTTTCTTCTCTCCCTCTGCTCTCCTGTCTTTCTGCTCTTTTCCAGCTGTCTTCCCGCTGTTCCCCTGGGGCAGACAGGACTTTTCCTGTCTCCCTCTTCTTTTCTGTCCTCTCTCTGTGTCCCTGTATCTCTTCACCCCTTTTCTCTTTCCTTCCCCCTCCCTCCCCTTTCTAATAAAACTCACTCAAGCTCTGTCTGCCTGGCGTGTTTGTTCCCTGCCTCTGTCACCCTCGCCTGCCATGGAATCTGTCATGGTCCCCCATGCAGGAACCCCCTTCCAGCTTTATCCTAACTTAAGCAAAGGAACAACAGTTGGGGGGTCACCACAACATGAGGGACTGTATTAAAGGGTCCCAGCATTAGGAAGGCTGAGAACCACTGCTCTAAAGAGACCTCTGTACCTCTCTGTTGTATGGCACTCTCCTCCAAGATTAAAATCTTCTGTCTTGGAGGTATATTCATTAGGACTCAGAATGCTTACAGGAAAGTGAAACAGCAGTGTGTTCTAAGGGGGGACAAAACATCCCACCTTATGGGAAAGTTCCTAAAGACAGGAAGCAAACAACTCAAAATACCTTCCGGAAGTCCCTGAAGCTGATCAGATTCACTAGGTCCCTCCCTCCCCAAGCAGGTATGTAACTGTAAAGACTTTTGTGTGAGTCACTCTCAGATAAGACAAACTGCAACATAGACTCTCATTCAAGTTGATCTGCCTGGAAGAGACTCAGACCAACAGAGCCACTGGAAAAGGATACCTTCAAACCCATGGAGCTGCCTGCAGGTTGTATGGTGTACCCCAAAATATCCACCTTTATAAACTGTCACCTGTTCTGGGGTGGGCTTTGGTGATGCAGCTGTCTTTGAGTCATTGCTGCTTCTCTAAGTAACCATTCACTCATATTTTGTAAGTAACCCCAATAAAACTTGTGGTTCTTCAAAGTGGTCTTTGATGGCATCTTTATGTTGGCCTGTTGTTAGTTCCCAAATGTGAGTAGACATTTGCTTCTGTCTCCCTAGGAATAACATCATACAAAACCTTCTCTTTGTCTATCAGATCACTGAAACAATGGACCTGAAAAGCTGGAATTCCCCAGAAATCTTATCCTAAGAGAAGGATGAAGGGACCAGAATGCATCATAAGACACCGCAAGACCAAGTTCTCAGCACAAGGAGATTTATTTGTCCCAGAGAGACAGAGGGCAGGGAATAAGAGACAAATACAGGAGAATTGAGGGCAAAAGGGAAGGAGAAGGGAACAAGGGAGAGGAGGAAGGGGTATTTGTCGTGGAGTGGCAAAGAAATGCCCCTAGATAGAGAGGAGACAGATGTGGCCCATAGGCAAATGGCAATTTATAAAGGAAAAAGGGGAAAGCCTGTGTTAGGATTAACTTGTAATTGGACATGTTAATTAGGGTATCCAAAGGAGGAGGAAGTAGCCAAATAAGGGAATAGACCTTGGAGGCTAGTTTCAGGAATGCAGTCTAGTGGTTTTTAGCAAGGCAGAGGGGATATGGGAGAAGGGCAAGGCCTGCCAGAGCTATGCTTGCCATGCTCGGGTTGGCCAGAGTCCCTTCCTCCCTTCCTTCCCACCTTTTTGTTTTATTAATCATTTGTTGGGTGTTGGATAAGTGGGCATCTTTCTGACTGCTTCTTTTTTTTTTTTTTTTTTTTTTTTTTTTTTGGTGTTCCAAGGCAAGGTTTCTCTGTGTCGGAACTTGCTTTGTACACCAGGCTGGCCTCGAACTCACAGAGACCCACCTACCTCTGCCTCCCAAGTGCTAGGATTAAAGGCATGTGCCACTCTGCATGCGATCACACTGAAAAAAAAAATAGGCAATTGGCAGAAGACTTAGGTTATTGGTTGGCTGGCGAACTTACCTGGAGTCTGTTTGGAGTTCATTAGAGGAGCCAGGGAAGTTTAGATTGGCTACATGGGTTGTTTAGGGAGCATCTATTATCTGAAAGCAGGGTCTGCTTGTGTTGGAGACAGCATAATTTGAGAGGCTTTTGTTATATCATAATAGTCTTTCCTGGGTGTTCAGGTGAGTTCTGAAATTGAAATATTTCAAAGGATAAGGTTGCAGCCTGGTGTCAGCCAGAGCAGCAGCTTGTCTCCAGGAGACGGAATTCATACTTCTGACAGCTTGTCAGACCACCCTGTAAGGAAGGCTGGAGCCCCGCCGGTGATGGTTGGTGAGACAAGACACCTTGACAAGACTCTTGGCTCTGTGTGCCTCTTGCCCTCTATTTAAATCTAAACCTCCTGTCAGCACCTAGAAGATGAACTTGAGGGCCATGGATCTGTTTGTTCCTTTTCCCCAGCATAACAGCCACATTGAGTAAATCCCTTCTTTTGTGTTTTCCCTATGACTTGTGTAGTTGGTCTGTGGAGGATAGTGGCAGAGGCTGGCTGTTCCGGCAGCTCAGAAGCCCAGGCTCTAACACAAACAGCTCTGGCAGCAGTCCCAACAGGAGTACATGTTTTGCTGGTGTTGGCAGATGTCATGAATCAAGCTGTGGCTTAGTGCTTTGTGGACTGGAGAGACATCACTGATAGAGAAAATGCTAATGATAAATGCCATTGAAACTTAAGAGCATGAAGCCCTCAAATAGCACCACCAATATGCAGAGAAGGTGTTCCAGTTACAATCTCCAGGGCCTAAGCAGATGACTCAGTGGGTAAAGTGCTTGCCTTGCAATCATGAAGATCTGAGTTCAATCCCCAGCACCAATGTAAAACTGACGCTGTAGTACATCTGTCTGCAATTCCAGCATTCCTATAATGAGATGGAAGACAGAGGCAGGAGAATTCCTAGAAGTCAATGGGCCAGCCAGCCTGGCATTCTCAGTGGAAAGCAACTAAGAGACCCTGTGTCAAACAAGGTGGAAGGCAAGGACCAACCCCCAAAGTTGTCCTCTGGCTTCCATATATGTGTCAGGGCCTAAACAGATTAATTTAAAAACCGATTGTATTTTTAATTATGTACATGATTCTATATCCTGTTGAAGGTCAATATTAACTGTGGAAGTTTGGATGCAATTGATCCCCAAGAGCTCATAAGGAGGTGTGGCCTTGTTGAAGGAAGTGCGTCACTGTGGGGGTGGGATTTGAGGTCTCCTATGCTCAAGCT